TCTTATTAACTAGCCTAGTAGCTTGCATTCTACACTAGTTGAAATATTCAAACCAAGAGAAAGAAATCATAATGCATTCATAATCACAGAAATCGTAAAACAACAGTCGAAAGCTCTGATCAGTGTGACCAGATTATACCTGCCCAGGAATGCTTGTAAATTCAAACGGTGGTAAGGGGCTCTTTGCCATAGAGATCACTTGGATTTGTAGTAACAGGGATAACTCCAAGAGTACCACCACACTAAGCACCTGTCCCTACTGATTCAGAATGCAACTCTGCAGAATTGTAGCTAGTGCTCTGGCACATCACGAAAATATGCATGGGAACCACACATACATTTGTAAATATGGGGATTGTTTTTAAATTCAGTTTGAGTATCCCTTATTTGAAAAGCCTGACCAGAAATGTTCTTTCTTTTGAATCTTTTCAAATTTTGAGATATTTGCATATACATATTGATGCATCTCAGAGGGGGGAACTCACATCCACAAAATTTTTATTTATGTTTCATATGCATCATACACACATAGCATGGTGATAATTTTCTACATTATATTGTGTAATAATTATATGCACAAAACAAAAGTTATGTACACTGAAACATGAGAAAATAAGGTATCATTATCTCTGCCAGCCATGTGGACAATTTTAGATGTATAGTCATCTCTCCACATTTGCAATTCTGACTTTTGCAGATTTGATTATTCATGGGTTTAATTTTAAAAAATCTCTACAGTGCAATTGTATGGTTGGCTTCCAGCAGACATTTCACAGAGTTGTTTGTGCTGCAGAACCTAAAGAGAGCATCTATCAAAACATCTTTAGGTCCTTCAATGTGACTCTAACTATGGTCAACTTTCTCCAGTCTTGCTGGAGGATGCAGAGACTTCTAGAGAGCTTTCAAGGAATCTCTAGGTCATCCATTGCAATTCTATGCTGAGCTTCCAGTGTATGTTCACCACTGAGTCATGCTGGAAGGCCTAGACATTTCCAGAGAGGCGTTCTCTTAGGTTAAAAAAAGCAGTTTCTTCATTTGCAGTTTTTCACTTACATGGGTGATCCTGTCCTCGTAACACCAGCAAATGTAGAGGGTGGGCAGTCTTTCAGAATTCCAAATAAGGGATATTTGACCTGCATTATATTATGCCTCACATTGCCAAAGTTCTTGTATTGATCTAGACAACTAAAAGAAAATACTAGAATCTTTAGATTTTTCTGCCTGTTAATAAACACTTTCTGTATATGCTATTATGTAAACACAATCAATATATTGTTTAATTATGTAAAACTACTATTATAGTAGGAAGGCAGTAGTATACTGTTTTATAATGTGTGAAAGGAAGCTCTTTAAACTTTAGCCAAGAAGCAACAGAAACTTACAAGAAAACTGAGCCAACATGTCACTTTCAAGACCGGTTCTCCCTTGTACAAACAGTGATTTATACTTATTTACAAGCATTATGGATTATTGGCTTTCAGCTCTAATACATACATCATAAAACAGATGCTAGCATCAGATCCTCAACATTTTGACTAAAATTGACATGCATACTTCTCTAGAATAACTACTGTAACAGTAAGAAACACAACAAGTACAAAAATAGTTTTCACTTTTGATGCTTTAAAACTGATATAATCTTTTATAATTTACATGGAAATTTTGCAAAACGATTTATAGGAAACATATTATTGTGATAATATTTTAGAAGATTAAAATTATTGATCTCCTTATGGAAACACATTTGAAATCTTTTTTCTTTCAATATGGAATGTTATGACCTATCACAAAAACAAATAAAAGAGTTGATAGTGTCTCTGCAACTGCTTCTTATCGAAGCGAACCAACATACTATATATATTTATTCTTAGCACTATTTCAATTGGTTGCATGCTGCAAGTCAGTCAATAGTATGCCAATTGTTGCCAACTCTGAGGCCCCAGGAAGTTTGATTTAAAAGAAGATTCAACTTCAGAAAGGCAGATTGGTCAAAATTCTCAGACATGTTAGATGACAATATCATATTGGTTACCCCAATCCCTGAGGAATACGAGCACTTCATCAAATTAGTAAATACCATGATTTAAATCAAATTCTTTAAAAATATTCATATTACAGATTGTAAACTGATAAGTTGTATCACTTCAAAATAGATTATGATAGCCAAGTTATTATATCAATTAGGTAACTTTAGTTTTGGAGAGCAATTGAAAGGATTACCAATAAGATAATAAGTATAAGATTATATTTCATGCATAGTAATAGATCTTCTAATTACAATTATACATGCTTTACTTTATGAACTTTGCTTATTATTGCTACACCTATATAAAGCATTATATGCATAAGCTTCCTCAAGGTATATGCTCTCATCTCATTCAATCACTATGCCTTACTTTTATTCCTTGTAAAATGTTATTTTCCTAAACAGAATTTTGTAAGTTTGCTTGAAACTTCCAAAAGTTACAATGCTTCAAAATTATAAAACTTATAATTATATATTGAGTATTTGATTTAACTTAGTGTGGGTTTTATGTGCTGTTCTATGTATATTTGTTTTATGTTAATTGGTATTGTTATTGTTTTATAAGTGTTTATGCATTGTACTATATTTGTATATTCTGCTGCATGCTTTTGTAAATCCCTTTTGAGTGTGGCGGGATATAAATCAAGTTTTTATTATTTATAATAATAAATAATACAGAAGACAGAAAACTTCAACAAATAATATAGAGATGTGTAAATCTATGCACCACCGCTCTATAAGTAATTTTGCCTGGCAGCTGCTAAAGATTAAGAATGGGAGAGATTCCACAGTAAATTCCACAGTTCACTGAGATTTATCATGGGTGTATCGGTTCCTTCCACAAAAGTCCTGAAAGTTTCCACCTTTCAGGATTGTTGTGAGGATAAAGTCAAGAGACAGAAGGAACTACGTGCATTAAATCTGCCACAGAAATAACAGGCTACAATGTAGTACAAGCAATTTTGTATCAGTCCCATGACCTTAGCCTTCTATTCTGGAAAGCTCCTCAAATATTATTTCAATTCTGCCATGATACTGAGCAGGTTTCCTTTGAAGATATTATGTGCTCCACTTGAGATCTTTCAGAAAACAAATGCATATGCATATTGGGAATGATATGTATACACTGGGCACACAACATTGACTACACATACTGCTTTCACACCTTTCTATACCTTATCTCCTATATGACATCCAGAAGCAGCTACTTTCAGAAATAGATCCTTCTCTTTCCAATGAATGTTACACAGCCCATCACAGGCCAGACCTGCACAATTGTTTCCCAGTTTAATAAGCTATTTGACTACAGACTCTCGGCCCCTCATACATTTAAACATACAAACTAAGAAATCTTTTATTTATTAAAGGTTCCCATTTGGTCTGAATGAAGATGCTATGGTTAACTATGTTGGAACAAACTGTGATTCAAAGTCAATTGCTCTGAAACCACCAAGCAGTGATTCCTGGTAGAGATGAAAACTTGTCAATGGAAGACTCTCCTAGCTTGTTAATTCAGATACACAAAGGGATTCACATAGAGCAAATGGGCTTTATGTGAATCCAAAAGGCTTGTTCACATCCCATCTTATTTAATGTGAGATATAATAATCCAAAGTCAGCCATTTAAAGCCAATTCACACAAGTGAAGCTTTCAATGCCTCAAAAAGCACAATATAAAGACAAAATACTGGTCTAAATACTCCTAAATACTTCCCAAAATGTTAACTGTAGCTAATCGCTGTTTGAGTAGCCATAAAGCCATCTCTAAGTAAACAGGCAATGCAACTTTTGTAAAATAGAGTCTCTTTCATTATTTCATGCTGTCAATATGACACCAATGATTGATTTAGACATAACATAGATAAAGTGATAAAATATACATGAATCAATCACTTCTACAGCCTGGCCATGCTTACCGCCATTGGTTAATGAGCACAGTTTTATTGAGACTTAAGTTGTTATTTTATATTACTACATGTTTTACTCTATTGTATTTTATTTTTATTTTATGCTCTGTTTTTAGGCATCTTGTGCAGTGTGTAAGCTGCCCTGAGTACCTTCGGGGAGATCACAGGGGGATACAAGAATAAAGTTGTGGGGCAGTTTTAAAGTGAGAACTGAAAAAAAATCATAGAAGTTATGATTATCAATTACTAATAGTCATGAGAACTATAAACTACCTCCAGTGTCAGAGAAAGCACGCTTCTGACTATTAGCTGCTGAGAACAAGAAAGAGAGACAGATAGTGACCTTATGTTTGACTCTTGGCCTTCCAACAGGTGCCCAGTTGATCACTGTGAGAAACGGGATGATGAACTGTATACATAGACTATGAGTCTTCTATTAAGGGACCTTTCACATTACACAACTATACCATTATAATATGGAAATGTTCTCTGTCATAATTTCATTCATTGGAAACCTGAGCTGTGCAGTTTAGCAAGGCACATTTATAACTCTCAGCCAAAGACTTCTAAGGACCCACCAGACTGCAAATCTCATAAGCACAGCCATGTCAGTTAAAGTGGAATCCTGATGCTATAACCATGTAGCATGAAATGCCCTTTCTCTTGATTTTTTTTGCTTCTATAAAACAAAGGAAACAAACAGCTGTCCAAAAAGATACTTCTTTCTATTCAATAGCCGCCATAGTATCCACTAAACACTCTGAGCCTTCAAGAATTACAGAGCACTTAATCTGATGACCAGTGGACAAGATTTAGGCCAAAGCATAGACATAGCATAATACATAGTAAGCACAGATGTAGTTCACTGTAGTCACATGTAAAATTTGTCACCAAACTAAGCAATTTAATGGGTACAGTGCAATCATTTTAAACACTGGTTTAACTTTTTTAACATGTGTAAAAAATGTTTTCAGACAGATACTGGACACATACAACGTTCTGCCTCTGTATCCATACATTTGAATGACTAGCCTATGAAGAAAGAGACCTCTGCACACCAGACTCACCTTCTCTACAGAGTCGCATTGCTTCTCGGTTTTTCCCATATTCCTTGAAGCTTTCTTCCAAGGCTGCTCCTGGGTAAATATGACAACAAAGCAAGAAAAGGTTTAGTCTCCTGAGTTCTTGTGGAAAAGTGGCTAGTTGACTACATAGCAATGTCATCACGTTTTGTATTTCTAATCCAAAATATTCAGTGAAAGATTAGATAGAAAACAGGCCAAACAAATCCCTTTCTCCATCTCAATGGAGGGTGACTTGATTTGAGAAAGAAAACAAATTTATAGCGCAAAGACCACCTATAAAGAAATGTGTACTACTGTAGCAAGCCCACCGGATAAATCAAATTATTGCTTGGGGTACAAGTACTTGAAGGTGTGCATCCTTCAGTGCCAATTTATGCATGTCCAAAACTAGCTAGGGGAGATTATTCTACATACATTATTCCAGATTAAGATTATTATCCTGTGACAAGGCAGAGAGTGTCTTTGTAGTAGACCCCCAGCACTAAGTCCCTCCCATAGGATAGCACTGATGTTACTAGCATTTGGGCACCAGGCTTATACTTCGTTCTTTCTCCAGGCATTTCAAAATTGGTAAATTCTTTTAATCCCCTCCTTTTTTTTCACTACTCTTGCTGGCTTCATAATTCTCATTTTTACCATGGTTACTTTTACTCATGGCTTTGTACTCTGTGCTGGTATCTTCCAATCTACAAATAATGTCAACAAATTAAATAACAAATGTGCCATGATCCTTAATGATATAAATGCACCGTTCAGTGTGTACATTTGTTGCACACAGACCTGTTTATATTAGTACCCTGGAACATTTCACATAGCAAATCCCCTGAACATAATTTGTGTTATGAAAATAAATGGTAGAAACATACCAGTGAATGGAAATAGCCTCATTCAAACATTATATTAAACTATGGTTTAGAACAATGTAGAAGAAGAGCCTTAGCCTCTCCTCTGACTTATATGTTCATGCCTTTCTGGCTCCCATACAGTTAAGGAGGAAGAGCTTGGAAGCTTCAGCTTTAAATCAACCACAGCTTCCTGTGTCAAAGCAGGAATAGAGGCTAGCATTATAAACCATTTGTTTTAAGCTAATCAGCTTTACAAACCATGAGTCAAAGTTGCTTTTCTTTAAATTAACTACAGTTAATATTGACAGGAATTTCTCATTCCCAATAATATGACAAACTGTAGTTAATTAAAAGTGAAAACAGACAGAAGAGAGAGAGGCTGAGAACACTGAATCCAGGCCTACTCATAAATAGTGCACCAAACTTGTCATGAGGCCCACCAAATGTTATTTAATTGCAAGACCCTGCAGCTTTATGTCAATGGTGAGGAAAATTGGGAGCTGCATCATACCACCTGGAGGCCTACATGATTTCCATCATGGAGAGCATGACATCTTAATACACTCACTATAACATGAGAAATGAAATCCACATTTACAAATAAATAAAAAATGTGGCCCCTTGGTGTATAGTGCTTTAGCTTGATATCGCTGGATTTTTTATGACGAAGAGAAAGTCTAAGTGATTTCACATAGGTAAAGGTTCCCCTTGACAGTCCAGTCGGGTTTGACTCTGGGGAGTGGTGCTCATCTCCATTTCTAAGCAAAGAGCCAGCGTTGTGCATAGACACCTCCAAGGTCATGTGGCTGGCATGACTGCAAGGAGCGCTGTTACCTTCCTGCTGAAGTAGTACCTATTGGTCGACTCACATTTGCATGTTTTCAAACTGCTAGGCTGGAGGAAGTTGGGGCTAACATCAGGAGCTCAAACTGCTCCCTGGATTCGAACCGCTGACCTTTTGGTCAGTAAGTTCAGCAGCTCAGAGTTTAACCTGCTGTGCCACCAGGGGCTCCCAATTTCACATTCTTGTAAACAAAAAATGGCAAAACTGGATGTGTTTCAGATCAAAACAACACACCTGGAACTAGTTTTGTCACATGAGCTCAGATAACTATAGGACCTGAATAAAGGTACATCCAAATTAATGCAACTTGACATCACTCAAACTGCCATGGCTCAACACTATGGAATCATGGGAGCTGTATTTTTACAAGATCTTTACCCTTCTCTGCCAAAGAGTGCTGGTGTCTCATCAAATCCCAGGATTCCATAGCATTAAGCCATGGCAGTTCAAGTGGTGTCAAGTACATTAATGCTACTCAGATGCACCCTGAGAGGTGCCTTAAAAAGCAGGAGAAACATACCTACACCCAAGAACTAAGTAACATCTTGTTAGGGACACAGGAAGGATTATGTCCATGATGCAGACCAGGATTGGGAGTTGCACCAGAATATTTTTCCCGTGTCAGGAGCAACTTGAGAAATTGCAAGTCACTTCTGGTGTGAGAGAATTGGCGGTCTGCAAGGACATTGCCCAGGGGATGTCTGGATTTTTTTCCCGATGTTTCCCGATCCCCCCCATTCGCTCGTGTCTGGGATAGATTTTAAAAATGGCTACCTCCTGGGTTCCCTCCCTCTCCCCTGCCCCCAGCAAAACCTCACGTCTGGGACAGATTTTTAATGGCCATTTCTTGGTTCCTTTCTCTGCAGAAATCCAATCATTTTAACAACTTGCTGATGTACTCCCCAAGACCTCATGTCTAAAACAGATTTATTTGGAAAAAAAAAACTTTGGCTACTTCCTGGGTGCCTTCCTCTTTTTACAAGAAATCAGTGGTTTTTGCTGTCTCCCAAAGACCTCTGATGTGGGATTATTAATTTTTTAAATTATTTAAAAAATAGTCCTTCTATCAACAGAAGCCCAAAGCTTATTGCTATTTCAACCAAGAAACTGTGTCTGGGAGAGATTTCTTTCAATTTTTTTGGCTACTTCCTGAGTCCCCATGCAAAGATTTCAGCCCATGCTGTTGTCTTCCTCCACACCTTGTGTCTGAGATGAATTTATCTAAAATTTGAATGATTTTAACTTCTTTTTGCTATCCCTTTCTCACATCGTCTCTGGGACAATGTTTTTAATGCTACCTCTTAGGTCTACTTCTTTACACCAGAGGAGCTCAGTGATTTTTAACACCTTGCTGCTGGCCATTAGTTGTTGCTCTCCCACCACCAGACCCTATTTCTGTTACAGGTTGGCTATTTCCTGGGTCCTCTTCCTATTGGTTTTAATTACCTGTTGCTACCTCTATGACTCTAAACCTCATGTCTAGGACAGATGTTTTTGTCTTGGGCTCTCTTCCTCTTCCCACAGTAGCCCATAGTTGTTGCTGTTCCTTTGTTACCCCCAGCCCTCATGTATAGGATATGTGTGTGTGTGTGGTAAAGGTTCTCCATTGACATTAAGTCCAGTTGTGCCCGACTGGGGGTTGGTGCTCATCTCCCATTTCTAAGCCAAAGAGCCGGCATTGTCCATAGACACCTCCAACGTCATGTGGCCGGCATGACCGCATGGAGTGCCGTTACCATCCTGCCAGAGTGGTACCTATTGATCTACTCACATTTGCATGTTTTTGAACTGCTAGGTTGGCAGAAGCTGGGGCTAACAACGGGAGCTCACCCCGCTTCCCAGATTCAAACAAGAAACCTTTCGATCAGCAAGTTCAGCAGCTCAGTGATTTTACCCACTGTGCCACTGGGGGCTCCTAGGATACAGATATAGATATATAGAGAGGTTTCCTCCTGGGTCCCCTCCCTCTCTCCAATGCTTTTTGCTGTTTCCCCCAAACCACCTGTTTGGGACAATTGCAATATCTTTGGCTATTTCGTGCATTCCCTCCCAATGGTTTTAACCTCTTGTTGCTGCCCCCATTAAACAATGCCCCCCTTCTTGTTCATCACCCTCTCCCCACAGGAGACAATGGCTCTTGCTTTTATCCTTCCCAGACAGACAACATATCTTCATCAGATTTTTTTAACAAATAAAAAGGCCTACATTCTGGGTCCCCTCCCTCTCTCCACACGAACTCAGTGGTTGCTGGCTTGCTGTGAGTTTTCCGGGTTGTATGGCCATGTTCCAGAAGCATTCTCTCCTGAAGTTTCACCCATATCTATGGCAGGCATCCTCAGAAGTTGCGAGGTCTGTTGGAAACTAGGCAAATGGGGTTTATACGAGAAATATAAGAAATAACTCTTGTCTGTTTGAGGCAAGTGTGAATATTGCAATTGGCCACCTTGATTAGCATTGAATAGCCTTGCAACTTCAAAGCTTGGCTGCTTCCTGCCTGGGGGAATCCTTTGTTGGGAGGTGTTAGCTGGCCCTGACTGATTCTTGTATGGAATTCCCGTTTTTTAATGTTGCTCTTCATTTACTGTTCTAATTTTAGAGTTTTTTTAAATACTGGTACCCAGAATGTGTTCATTTTCATGGTTTCTTCCTTTCTGTTGAAATTGTCTACATGCTTGTGGATTTCAATGGCTTATCTGTGTAGTCTGACATGGTGGCTGTTAAGAGTGGTCCAGTGGTTGCTGCTGGCCCTACCTAAACCTTGTGTCCGGGACATTTCTTTTTTAAAAAAAGATTTGGCTATATCCTGGATCTCCTTTCCAATGGGTTTCCCCCTTACTGTTTTCCCATCCAGACTTGTGTGTAAGGGTCAGATTTTTTTTTAAAAAAAAATGGGTCCCCTCCTTCTCTCCCCAGGATCCCAATAGTTGTTTCCCTTCCCTTCCCTCAAGACCTCCTGCCAGGAACATCCATACACACAAGATAAAAGGCTTTAATCCCCTGATGCTGCCCCCTCAGGACCTAATTCAAAGGGAAGGTTATTTTTTAAAAAAAAAAACCTGGCTACCTCTTGTGTCTCCTCCTCTCTCCACAGGAATCCAATGGTTGTTGTTGTCTCTTCTTTTCCACAGACCTCCTGTCTGGGACATTTTTAAATGCTATTTCCCAATACTGGCTACCAGTATTTTTTTTTTTAAAAAAAAACACGCTCTAAAATTAAGACAGTAAATAAAGAGCAAGACTCTGAAAACAGGGAAATTCCAGGCATGAAACAATCAGGACCAGCTAACATCTCTCAACAAAGGATTTCCCCAGGGATGAAGCAGCCAGGCTTTGAAGCTGCAAGGCTTTGTAATGTTAATCAA